GTGACTGACACCTGAGTGATATTTTCCTCTCATCCTGTTTCCGGATCCTATGCAACATCGTCATCACCATCACCTTCATCATCACCATCATCATCATCACCATCATCGTCATCCACGTAGCCTCAACATCACAGCTTACCGAACACCTACAAGGTAGTTCACCTGCATCAAGTTAGGAATCCTCAGAACAACCCAGTGAGATAGGTCCTATTATTATCTCCCTTTTCTAAGGTCACAGTTCCAGTGATAGATGGTGTCAGGTTTTGAACCAGACAGCCTGAACCCTGAGCCCCTGGGCGTCTAGCTACTATGCTCTCCTGATACATCTGTACGACGGTAGTCTGGACGATATTCCAGACCCCGAACCCTGGATAATAAATGCAGTCAAAAGAGCACTGAGTTGCAGCACCTTAAATAAAAAAGAGGCATAGTCTTCGCCTGAGCTCTCTTGACATTAATGTTAATTACTGAAAGTCGCTTGTTTCTAGAATGAATTCTCACTACCCCTCTCTGAGCTGTCCTTGAGACTACTTTAAAGCTTTTAACCACGTAGATCCTCTGTTGCTATTTGGCATGTTCATTGCTGCATAATTTGCAAGTTGCAGAATGAGTACTTAGCAGGGTGATTTCAAAGCCTACTGGACAGAATCACTTGAAATGCACGAGGCAGTGGGAACTACCACGGCAGTCAGTAGTGTGCTTGTTGGGGCTATAAATTTCCTGAGAAATGGAGGCTAGTTTATACTTACAACAACTGTTGAGTATAAATCAAGCGGGAACTTCTGAAGTCAGATGCTTCATTTGTTATTTTAATGCACATTGTATTTTCTGAGGGGCTGAGGCCTCCGCGTTATCTTCTTCGCTCAGAAACTGAGTGGCCGAAATAATCTCTGTGTCGGATGGAAGACTTCATGGTCAATCAACACGCAGTTGTCCTGTGAACTTGAACTCTTGTGTGATTTTCCTGGTGACCAGACTTGAAAGTTTTCGCTAGCTCCTTTGTGAGAATGACAATTTAAATAGCTCTCACAGAAGTCCAAAAACACGAGGCCGATTGGGTAATAAAGGGGTGCCTTTAAAGTTAAATGAGTCATAATTTAGCATGAACTAGATTGATTAGAGAAACACTTGCACGTTGGCAGGCAGTTAGGATCCTGGAGCCCTCTCGGTAATTAGGACTGTTATGATGTCTGTTGGCACTACATATACAGCAAAGATGGGTCATGTCACAAGTCCATCCAAACACTTGTGGGTTCAGGGATTCAAACCCAAGTTGAACCTTTTGGTGTTTGAGTTTGTTAACTGTTGGCTAAATGCCACTTCCTGTTCCTAAGAAAAGAGGCTTGAAAAAGTCTCATAAAAAATGACTTAAAAGCCTTCCTTGACTTCAAAGGCTCTTACAAAACAACATTTTGATGAGTTAAGTGTAAAGGAATCAGAAACATACGGATTAAATTTCCCTAAAAGAGTCATGTGTCTAAAAACGGAGGGAGGAAAAAGTAGCAAGTTTATCTTGCTCAACATGTCTCAAAATGTCCAGAGTAAATATTGATTACTGAAAGCAATCGAATTCTTCCATTCCAAAATAATACTAATATAGTAATCTCTAGAAAAACATGCCAAAGGGGTCAATGAATAAAGGCCAATGTGTTTGTGTAGGTCGGGTTGTACCAGGCCATCTCTCTACAGTCCATTATGCCAGCCTCCACTTTAAAGGAAGTAGCAGAGTGTCGCAGGACAGAGCCCCAGAGAACAAAGAAGTCCAAACTAGACCACTCACGAGGGTCAGGCGATTGTCATCAACTCACCACACATTGATACATCACAGCTGATGCGACTGTCTGAAGAAGAGCGTACAGACATGCCTTCGCCATGAAATGTCATGCAAAAGGCAGCATTACCTGGTATGTGTATTTGATTTCCACATCTGTTTTTTTTTTTAAAGATTTTATTTATTTGACACAGAGAGATCACAAGCAGGCAGAGCAGGCAGAGAGACGGGGGAAGCAGGCTCCCTGCTGAGCAGAGAGCCCAATGCGGGGCTCGATCCCAGGACCCTGAGATCATGACCTGAGCCGAAGGCAGAGCCTTAACACTGAGTCACCCAGGCGCCCCGATTTCCCATCTTTAATCATAATTTTGTGGGTTTCTAACCCTTGAAAATAAATTAATTAATGATTATCTCTCAAGCAGAGAAAAAGACATCTTTGGGCAAGAAGATAATTGCAGGACATAGAAAGAAAAATCATTTGAACGAGTGATGAACAAATGCAAATTCTGGTCAAGAATGACATGCTGTAAATCTCATCAGTTTGCCACCAACTTAGCTGACAAAAAAGCTAATAGCTGATTTTTCTGTGTTTGAAAATCTTAGAAGGAACAAAGTATTTGACTTTTGAGGTCAAATAAAGCCAATGCATTTAACCATGAAACATTAGATACTGACAGATAGAAGTTTTGCCAACTATTAGACCCTCAATATAACAAATTTTTGTATTTGGCCAAATGCAATGGTATGAATTTATATAGCAATATTTCACTAGATGGTGGTTATGGCAGCTTCAGACCATAAGAGAAAAATTTCTAAAAGTGGACATTTCATATTTTAATTTGTTTGTGACATGAACTGCTACAGTAACACATAAATGAGCTGCCTTCTTGAAACAAACTTAGTGTGAGAGAAAGGTCCTAATTAATTGAATCCATAAGTAACTTTTCTAAACAGTATAGTTTTATTTATGTCAATACATTTCTTGGAAAAGGAAATGAATAAAACATTCACATATTGGCTTAAGGGGTCCGTGATGTTTATATATAATTCCAATGAACGTAGACTGGTAAATGTATTTATAAAAGTAAATAAATATTACTATTTTTATTGTTTTTCTTTCACTATCTCTGAATTTGATTTAAATAGATACATACTATTTTAGCAACTACCAAGTGATCAAGAAACCAACTGCAGATTTTTGTTTCTTTATATGCCCAAAATCACCATGTCTCTAAACATGTCCCACGACCCAAAGACCCCAGAGGACAAAGAACCAACCGAGCCATGTTCCCACACCCCAGTGGAGTTTGGAACTTCTGAACAATATTGCCAAAGAGTTCATCTAATCTTAGCTTTAGTGACCGGAACAGAATTTTGAATGTGTCCAAAGAGAGGAGCTTTTGGAGAACTGAACCAATTGCTAAAGAAAAATATAATGGTAAGAAGAGCAGTAAGTCTGATATTACAGGAGTGTTCGAAAAAGTGATTTCACTTAATTGTTTACTAAATCCCCAGAGGGAAATACTTGCCTTGATGGATTCTGATAATCAATGAATTTACCTTGTCATTCTTTTTTTTTTTTACCTTGTCATTCTTGAGGAAAGGTGATAGGATTAGAGCAATCACACAGCAGACACACTATCCTTCCAATAAAGATGATTTGCAATTTCCTGTTCCCCATTTTTCTCTAAGTCTTGAGATTATCTACCCTACTGCCTTTCCAAAGATCCTGAATATTTTCAAGGTGTCTTTATATACACTGTGTAGTTCTACTCTCATATCGTCTAATTGCAGGTCAAGTCCAGCAAACACTTCCCCTTCCAGGAATGCAACTCTTGAAATTCCACTATTGGAGAACAACTCACTTGGTTAAATATTGTCCCCTGAGGTTCTCCTTACAAAATTTATATCCTTCCAGACGGCTGGTAATTAAAACCTCTGTGTTAATTAATTTACCAAGAAGGACTCTGCATAGTTTGGGAGTACATGGCAGTGAGTAGGACAAGAAGGAGAAAGAGTAGAAAAAGAAGGGGTAATCTACTTCAAAGACAAACTTAACCAAATTAACCAGTTTGCATAAAACTAACTCCATTTCCTATCCTCAGAGTGTGATCTCCAACCACAAAATTGTATTTTTCTTCCATATTTTAGAACAATTTTTTTTAAAGTTAATAGCCTGTGGCTTTTTTTTTCTTATTTAAATGCAATTCGCCAACATGTAGTACATCATTAGTTTCGGATGTAGTGTTCAATGATTCATCAGTTGTGTGTAACACCCAGTGCTCATCAAATCACGTTCACCTCCTTAATGCCCATCACCCAGTTACCCCAACACCCCACCCACCTCCCCTTCCTCAACCCCCAGTTTGTTATGTGTACCTTTGAAAGTTGTGTTGTCATCAAATTCAAATAACGCACATACACTCTGATATTCATAGCAGCATTATCTACGATAGCCAAATTATGGAAGCAGCCCAACTGTGTCCGTCAACTGACGAATGGGTAAAGAACATATGCATACATGCACAATGGAATATTACTCAACCATCAAAAAGAATGAAATCTCGCCATTTCCAAGACATGGATGGAGCAAGAGAGTGTGACACTAAGTGAAATAAGTCAATCAGATAAAGACAGATACCATCTGATTTCACTATATGTGGAATTTAAGAACCAAAACAAACAAGCAAAGGAGAAAGAGAGAGAAGCAAAACAGGATACACTCTGAACTATATAGAACAAACTGATGGTTAGCAGAGGGGAGGAGACTGGGGGGATGGGTGAAATAGGTGATGGGGATTAAGGAGTGCACCTGTGATGAGCACAGGGCGTTGTATGGACATGTTGAGTTGCTATATTGTACACCTGAATCTAATATTACACTGGGTGGTAACTACCTGGAATGTAAGTAAAAATTTTTTAAAAATTCAAGTAATGCAGTGTCATCTAGAAACACCCCGAAAAATAACAACAGCAACTGTGCCTCTCTCCATGGCTTAGTATCCCTTTCCTAACAGCCCAGACCATGTTTATCATTGCTGCACTTCCTCACTGAAAGATGTTTCCTAGTCTCTCAAAATCCTGTCTGGAAGGAGAGCATGATAGTAAATAAAACGTTGGGGAGTCACATTTTAAGCTGAGCTTAAGTAAAGTTTAGGACCAAACCAGCAGATAAAATTGACAATGTCTGCAACGCATGGAACAAAAGTTTTCGACACTTCTCAAGGACTTTCCTACCAGTGATGGTGAAATCATCTTTTTCTCACAAAGGAAGTCCCGCTCCACTTACCAAAGTAGGCGTACCAGGAGCTACAATACCCATCAGCTTGTGCTGCAGGGGTTAACATATTCTTTGATAAGTTTTGTTTCAGTGTCTTGGGTGGTATCTTAATCCACTCATTTGGGCTGCTATAACAAAACTCCATAGACTGGGTAGCTTGTAAATGACAGAGATCCTCTGTAACTGACCATTCTAGGGATGGGAAGTCTGAGATCAGAGGACCATTGTAGTTGGGTGAGGGCTTTCTTCCAGGTCACAGATTCATCGTTGTATCCTTAAAGGCAGAAGGGCTTGGGGCTCTCCCTGGAGCCTCTTTTAAGGGCATTAATCCTATTTATGAAGGTTCCACAGTCATGTTGTAAGTGCTTCTTGAAGGCTGTACCCCCTAATACCATGGGAATACAACATGTGAATTTTAGGAAGACACAATTATTCAGACCATAGCAGGTAATAAAAGACAAATCTTTATATTTTCTCTATGGACTAGACTTGGCATACTCATTGGGATCTCTGCTGTGGTGGTAACTAAGGAAAAATCATCTCTTCTTTTGTGTACAAACTAAAAAGGAGACTGGAAAATGCATAAAGTTAATCTATTAAGATGGGACGGTGGGAGATATTTTCTAGCTATAATTATTATGATTTCATTTATAGAGTGTTGTTGGCTAAGAATTCTAACAGGGCATTCACTTGTTTAAAGCCTTATCTTCACTATGCAGCATTGCTGAAACTTTTGAACTATTCCAGGAGATGACTCAACAAGTTCCACCAGAATCTTTCTTGTATCTGGGTCAAAGTACCCTCGGTGTTCAGCCAACAGCCTGTGGTTATCATCTCTCCCTATAAAACTAGTATCAAAACCTCAGACTCAAGGCTGCAGAAAGCAAGGTAGGGCTTAGATAGGGAGCAAGAGGTCACAGACCTGGGAACAACAAAGATATGTACTTACCCCATAGAAGTCACAAACTGGACACTCCGTGAAACAGAGTAAGGAAATACTGGAACCAGCAGCGAAACAGGCCTGCACCTGATTTATTGTGGTCGAATTCTAATTAAATGTCCTCCGTTCTGGGAACCAGCATGGTGCCAGAACCTGGGTTGAACTCAGCCTCCAGGTCCAGCTGGGAAGACACTAAATAATTCCAACTTGGAAGTTGGAAATGAGTCAAAACAGATAAGCCAGGCTTACTCACCAGTTAATCCTACCTCTTTCTCTACGATCAGAATAGACTCCTAAGATGGTGCTACCACCTCTGGCCCTTCACTCCATGTCTCCCTCACTAAAATGTTCTAGCCCTCTCTTCCCATGCTCTTAATTTTTACTCTATTTTAAAGGCCCGAAGCTACGTCCGTATGTCGCGCAAAGCAATTCAAAGCCTTCTTTCTCACCATGTCAACTCTTCCCACCCCACATACTCCATTGACAGTGGTGCTTGGAAAATACTGGTTATTTATATTAACCACACTAACAATATCAGCACAGATTATAACTGACCTTGAAAACATGAGAATAATGATATAACTGGTTTTTTGACAAATATAAATTTCATTCCTTTTATTTAAAAAAGTGAGGACCGTGTTTCATGTGAAATGGGTTCCCACACTACGTAATACTCTCTGACATTAGGGCTGTTATTTACCCTGGCAGGGAAACTATTTCGGGGCAAGGCTACCTTCCACACTTACAGATGGCTTCGTCTCGTCCATCTGTTTCTGCAACATTTAGACCTTTGACACCTTCATGGCTTGAGTACTGAACCACCCTCTTGACTCATTTTTATTAGTTCTTTCCGTCCTGTTTGGAATCATCCTATCCTCTGACCTCATGAGTCAAATTTTAGGCTCTCTTTAGCCTTTCCATCAAGACTTTGTGCTGCTTCAAACTTTCGTTTCCCTTCCCAACCACGATTCTGTTTCTTCTCACTAACTACACAACAATTAAGTAAAACATTACCCGTCCCCATGAGCTCCCAGGACCCCCATAACCCAGCACAGGCTCAGATGGTGGCAACTACTGCAGGTAGAGCCACAAGTAAGTGATATTATTTAGAAGACGTCCTGTTCTTCCAGGTGTAATGTCATTGCACAAAATATGACTACTGATAATAGTATTACTAATAGTGATAATTTAGGATACATCTGAAGAAAAGAATATGAAAGGTAAACTTAAGACTTGGAATAGGATTTTAAAAATCTCAATACTTTTGAAGTCACTGGCTGGCTCAGTCAGTAGAGCATGCAACTCTTGATCACAGGGTTGCGAGTTCAAGTCCCATATTGGGAATAGAGGTTACCTAAAAGTCAAAGCTTTTTTTTTTTTTTTTTAAACCTCAGCACTTTTTATTAAAATACATACTAAAAGAAAGCTTTCTTACTGTCTTCAGATCTCTTTTTAGGATTTTATTTATTTATTTAAGAGAGAGATAGAGAGAGCATGAGCAGGAAGGAGAGGGAGAAGCAGGCTCCCTATGGAGCAGGGAGCCCAACAAGAGGCTGGATCCCAGGACCATAGGATCATGACCTGAGCCCAAGGCACTTTTTAAAAAAATTATTATTATTATGTTCAATTAACCGACATACAGTACATCATTAGTTTTTGATGTAGTATTCAATGATTCATTAGTTATATTTAATACACAATGCTTGTCACAACTCATGCCCTCCTTAATACCCATCACCTGGTTATCCCATCCCTCCACCCCCTTCCCTTCTGTAACCCTTCATTTGGTTCCCCGGAATCTAGAGTCTCTCTTGATTTGTCTCCCTCTCTGATTTCTTCCCATTCAGTTTTCCCTCCCTTCCCCCATAGTCCTCCATGCTATTCCTTATGTTCCACATAGGAGTAAAACCGTATGATAATTGTCTTTCTCTGCCTGACTTATTTCACTTAGCATAATCCCCTCCAGTTCCATCCATGTTGATGCAAATGGTAGATATTCATTCTTTCTGATGGCAGACACTTAACCAACTGAGCCACCCAGGTGCCCCATCTTCAGATTTTTTTCCCTACTTTTCAATTTTTATTTTAAGAAAGCTGAATAATAGTGTTTTAACTCAAGAAATTTTTGGTTTTATTCTGTTTTGTTTTCAGTCTCACCTAATTTCTGGTAACTTTCTCTAAACTCCACTTTGCTCATTTCTTCGTCCAAGAAATAGGTAAATATCTTCTTGTAGAGAACGGAGAGGGAATTCAATTCTCGAGAGACTGAGAATCCAATCTTCATCAGACTTCAGTAACTGAATCCCTTGCCTGTAATGAACTAAAATACTATTAAATAAAGCCTCTTCTTTGAGTTGCATAATGTGGAAAGAATTAAGCTTCAAAACTGGTTTTATTATGCCAGACATGGTTTTCTCCTAAAATTAAAACCTTAGTTAGTGTGGTAACTCCTCATAGAATTGAGAAAGAACAGAGACCTATTTTGCCTATATGCCTTGAAATAAACATAATTCATAAATGTATGAGTTAGTATATACTATAACAGACTCCTGAAGACAAACAGTTAAATCTATTCTTATTCAAAAAACACATGGGATTCTGCTGGCTATAGTCCCTTTTCAGTCTGAATACTAGATTTGAGTTATATCCAAAAAATTCCATCTTCTACAGTTCATAGTATTTCCTTTCAAAAAACAAATACGCGGATCATATTCTAAATCACTCAATTAGAATAGGGAAAGTGAATTTTCCAGTTCTGGAGTCTAGAAGCTTACACACACATAAAATACACACACACCCATACACACATTTTTTTCAACAATGGGTCAGCCAAGATCAATCTTTTTTTCTGTTCAAATGAGACTGTGAAAAGAATATGGATGATACAGCTCAACGTCCTTTAGAATGTTAAACACCATATTCTCAATCATCTCAATAAAAAATTCACGCCAAAGTTGATTCTAACTTACCTGTATAGCTTTCTTTTAATAAAAGTTGTACTCTTAAAATCAAGAACTTGAAAAGAAATTTAAATTCTTTCTAATGATGGCATTGAACTTCTTTTGCCTTTATGAAAAGTTTCATCAAAACAAAACAAGCACGTATGAAAAAAGCCTTATGGAACGTTTGTAGACTGAAAGAAAAGTTGTTCAGGTGGAATCTATTGTCTAATCTATGTCCTGGGATAACTATCTTCCAAGCCACAAACTCAAAGAAAGGATAAAGTTTAATATAAAGAGAGATCAGCAACTATGAAATGATAGTATTCTATTCATGAAACCATTTTGCTTTCTGCAATTTATGTCAGATAAAATGTACTGACAATGTTTTTCTCAAAAACAGAAAAATTAGCCTATTGCATTTCTCATTGCATTTCATAAGCCCAAATTTACAAATATAAACTGCAAATAAACACTTTTAATTGATAAATGTGATAATTTTTGAGAGTGAAACAATGGTGAATTTCAGAGTTTTGGACTACACACTTAAATTTTTACATAGAATTAACTGGGTAAAAAACATGGATTATAGCAAAAAGGTTTATTTACAGGGCATGTGGGTGGCTCAGTCAGTTAAGCCTCTGCCTTCAGCTCAGGTCATGATCCTAGGGTCCTTGGATCGAGCCCCCCATTGGGCTCAGTGGGGAGCCTATTTCTCCTTCTCCCACTGCTCCTCCTCCGCTCATGTTCGCATCCCCGCTCTCTCTCTGTCTAAAAATAAATACATCTTTTTAAAAAGTTTTATTTACCTCAGTGATTTATAAGAAACCAACATTAATTTGAACTCAGACTTATTTAAGTTGTTAAACTGATTGACAGTTTAAAGCAGATAATTGAAACAATGATATAGGAAGTAGAAATTTGCCAAAACCATATTGAAGTAAAGGTATGTGAGGACTTGAATTCTTTCCATTCTTCATCTTCATCCCCATCTCTGTCTTCAGCATTGTTGATAAATACAATGGACTTAACACTTCGAACTGAATAGTGTAAAATACTTATTGTATCTAGTAATATAATATATCGTCCTAATGGAACCAAGGGATAATCTTAATAAGAATGTTCTTCGTTATAGAATATTAGTTGACTGACTATATTCTGTACACTTTCCACATACACTTTGGTGTATTTAAGACAAATAAGAATCACATTGTCGGCACATATCATATGCCAGCGATCCTAAAGATATGTAAAAACTAAACAGTCTGAGGTGCCTGGGTGGCTCAGTAGGTTAAAGTCTCTGCCTTCGGCTCAGGTCATGATCCCAGGGTCCTGGGATCGAGTCCCTCATCAGGCTCTCTGCTCAGCAGGGAGCCTGCTTCCCTTCCTCTCTCTCTGCCTGCCTCTCTGCCCACTTGCGATCTCTGTCAAATAAATGAATAAAATCTTTAAAAAAAAAAAAAACCTCAACAGCCTATAGGATGTTCATAAAACCAGTATCTTGCCTCCAAAGAAATTATTTCTTATATTGTACTTGGAAAGCAAAGTAAAACAAAGAATTCCTAGAGTGTATTATGTAGTACCATCAAGTCTAGAAGTATAGCATAGGGTAAAATATTAAGTATTTGATTCTTAAAACAGATTTTTCATTCTGAAGTCTACCACCTCACAAGCAGGAAATAATAGGACATAATTTTCAAATATGTGACTTCCTTTATTATCCACTTGAGATTTCAGACTATAAATGGTATTATATGCTTGATTCTGGTGAATCATGTTCCTATGTTTAACAGCCTGCCAAAATTTGAAATCAGAAGGGAATTTTCCCTTCAAACTCTTTAGAATAGGCATGGGGTAGTTTGAATTTTTTTTTTTTTCCCCTGCTCTTGGGATCAGTAACTGTTGATACTAGTAAGGGTTGATACTAGAGGGGGTTGATACTAGTGAGGACTTAAGTAAATGTGAAAGGAGGGACATCTTGATTTGTCCTACTCTCTGCAGCTTTGTACTTCACCCTCAGACTTGGCAGATGCAAGATTATTTTCTCTGGCAGCCCCTTGTGGGATGAATGATATCTGAATGAGTTCCCTCCTCGGTACAGCAAAGTTGTTTGTCCTGTGCTCTGTGGAAAGGAGCAGTTGGCCCATCAGGATGTGTCATGCCTGCTGAGGTTGGGCGCACAATGTAAAATGTGACGCAGGGAAAGACAGGAAATGAAACTGGAAATTTCATTAGAGCTTGCCACTTCTCATCCACACTGAACTGTGAAATATATATAAAAACTACACTCCATGGGGGGAAGAAAATTGACTTAGTAAGAATAAATTTAGGGTCTTCAAAGTTTTGTCCCAAAAGCCATTTTGTAAAAATAAAGAAAAACAAACAATGAGACTGGAAATCATTATGATACTAAAGCATGAACACATATGCAAGAAAAGTTCATATTTATCTGAAACTCCTAGGATGTTCTACTACTTTCTGTTCCATTTCTTTGCAAGTGTACAAAAATCTGGCAAGAGAAACTTTCCATATTAATGGTCAGTCCTGTTAGCCTACAAATATACCTTGGAATCAAATTATATAGAGTTTTACCAATTAAAAAAAAAAAAAAACCCAAGATTTAAAATCTGTAAAAAAATGAAAGTGCTAGTTCTTTTTCAAATAAAGGTATTTATTCCACTTAACCGCAAAATGTGTCTTCTTGCTGGCAACATTTGTGATGCCTGCCATTTTTCCTCGATTTGATAACCAAAGAAAATAAACAGAGCCTGAATCTTTCTTAATAGATGAATCCTTATGTTTACATCGACTTGACATTTTATGATTTCTTCCAGTGTAGGAAAACCATGGCTTAGGAAGTTTGGTGGCATTCTTACCAAGTTCCTAGTAGTAGTAAGGCATTTAACCTGCTTTATCTGAGTACCAGTGCACAGAAGTGGATACTTTGAAACAATAAACCCAATAAACAATAAACAATAAACCCAGGCAGATTAGCTTTTTAAAAATGGTTGAAAAGGAGTTTGTGTGATTTTAATTATGCCATTTTACATGAATTCATCGTGGACAAATCAATGGTTATATAACACACCTGATCTTGTTTCTTGTTAGTTGCTCGGAAAGTCTGCAGTGTCTGATAACCCGTACGGCAGCGCATTAAAAAAATAATAATAATTTCCACATTGATCAATATTTCAAGGCGTTGACTTTTATGCAGGCAAGTCATACTGAACAATAAAAACAGATATGTTATTTTGTCTCTTTCTATTATTTCCAATTTCAAAATAAATAATCTCTGTGACTACTTGATGGGTTGAAGTAAATCGACACAAATCTGGGTAATTGTACTATCAGATTTCTATTACATCTCAAAAGAAAAGCATTTCAATCTTCTAGGTTTTGAAACTTTCCAGTCCATGAACATCCATGTGAAAACTGTTTTTAAAGACCAATAAAATACTCCTTTTATTTTTGCATTTCACTACAAAGAGCAATATAATAACAGCATTCACTGCATTTTGGTCCAGAAACCAGAGCTGCCTTTGAGGATCTCATGATAGCTCTTTCTGTGTGAATGATAAAAGCAAAAGCCCTTTGCCCAGGCATGCCCTGTGAGCACTCTTTGTCCATTAGTTCATTTAATTATTAAACAATAATGAATCCACATTTTCTCAGTGATACACGGCTCTTTATTGTTGTTCTTCTTCTTTCCAGTTCCCTGACTTGAATTTCATCTATGGATATCATTTTTCCTGAGTTTAGCCTTGGCTATTTATTGAGCTACTTCCAATATGGCACTTAATTGAAACTAGTTCCTTAAACTAACTCAGAGAATGGATTTTAAGAAAACAAACTCGCTGAACTGAGAAAGGAGAGAAATTAACTACATTCCATGTCAGAATGTGACAGGCCTCGTGAGAATTTTCCCCTGACAAATGTATATTTTCTTTCTGTTCTGCACTTGTTCCATCCACTAATACTAACAAATAGAAACCACGTGCTTATAAATCTATTATCTACAGTATATTTTCATTGTGGATGAATCTTTTCTGTAACCAAAATGTCAAAGTCTAGTAAAATCAGACTTGATTATATATACAGAATACAGTTG